CATTTGCGAAGAGTGCGCCACCGAATTTTGAGGACACTTTTAATTGGCTCAAAGAGAGGAGTGGCCCCTCTTGTTATGTAGACTCTTTGCTTTATAATGATTTGATTTCTTCCGTGGGTTGCCTGGTTTAGGATAACCTTGATTTTGGAACACTACGAAGCATCAACTTTTATTTTTCAAAAGCAAATTTTAAAAGAAAAAGAAGAAGATTTTAATGATTAAAGTAACTGGTAACCCTTGGTTGACGTAAAGAGGAGTCAGAACTTTTCTTACGTAGTATTTATCATGGGAATCAGTTCCGGACTCGATCCTTCGCCCAGCTTTAATGAAAACTCATAAAATCACCTATCCAGATTTGTTAGGAACGAACCTTACCCGAACTACGAAGAACTCCTCAATGTTGGGCAGGGTACAGACGCTGCTGGTTGGGAGGAAGATTGCGGGGGGAAGAAAAGGAGACGAGGAGGCAAAGATTGGGGGGGGTGTCAGGGGTTTACCCACAAGTTACATATCGTCCCCGTCATTCAAAATTGAAGTACATGTATGTTAAAATTACGAAATTTTCAGGAAAAGCAGAACAACTATTTTAAGTTGCCCAAGACGCTATTTTGATACAAAATATTAGTTTCGTTTAAATTTGTTAAGTCAGACCTCTTAGAAAGCATGAGTGGACGTCTTAAACTGAAAAGCTTACGGACCAACGTTAAGGTCAGCAATTAGCAAATCCAAAAACAAATTTATCTCATGGTACGTACCTGAACTTGAGAAAAAGATGCCACTTTCTTGCCAATACCTGTACTTTTCTTTTTTATAAACGAGAAATTCAAATTCTTGAATTGAAGTTGAAGCACATATTGTGCTGCTCAGACGTAAAAGTGTTCAAAAGAAGAGGGAGAGAGGGGTATAAAAGAGAGAGAGAGAGAGGGGTATAAAAGAGAGAGAGAGAGAGAGAGAGAGAGAGAGAGAGAGAGAGAGAGATAGACAGGCAGACAGACAGAGAGAGAGAGAG